ATCTCCCCTACCTTTCTTCTTCCTCTTTTTGTCCTTGTTTCCCTTTCTCTTCTCTTCTCTTTCCATTTCAATTTCCCTTTCCTTCCTTTTCTCTGTCTCTGTTAAGTTTCCTGGGAGGTGGGCAAGGGCGTTTCGGCCCTCCCCCCGATCTACATTTTTTGGCGGGATTAATCGCAACTGATCTCCCCTACGTTTCACCTTTTTCTTTTCTTCCTCTGTTTTGTTCCCTTTAGCTCTTCTTTTTCCCTTACCCCCTTCTCTCTCTTTTTTTGTTGTTGGGGGGGGGGGGGCAACAGTCTGGGAGGCCCTCCCCCGATCTCCTTCTTTTCTTCTTCCTCTTCTTTCTTTCCCTTTCTCTCCTCTTTCCCTTTCCCTTCTTTTCCTTCTCTCTCTCTCTCTCTCTCTCTTGTTAACGGGGAGGGAGAGGCCCCCCCCCGCTAGGGACAAGACGTACTAAACGAAGTGAATTGACGGGCCAAGTCAGGCTATCTAAGAAACACCCCAATACACTTTTAGCTCCGTCCCGCGCCGCTGTTTTGCTACATGTATATTGGTATTCAAAATTGTACCTAAAAATTGATTTTCAGAGAGTAAAATGCTAGAATTTTCCCTACCATCGGAGGAAGAAATGAATTCTTGATATCAAGAAATGATTTTTTGATATCAAGAAATGAATTAATGATATCAAGAAATAATTTTCCGTTGTAAAGCAATGGTAATTCTTGATATCAAGAAATATGTTTAAATGATAAAACGGCTTGCCATACTACCGTGCTGTCCGTCATGAAAATGCATAAGATGGGGCCTTGTTCACGAGTATACAGTATAGTCGTGATACAGGCCCCCATGTCCGTGTTGTGGAACACGCAACGCCGTTGCGCGGCCTGTAGGAGATACTGGTCATACACGCCCCCCAACTGCGGGGCCTGTATCACGAGGGGGGGGGGGGGGCTCCATCATTTGTTTTTGACCCGCTGTTTGAAGATCCCCCCCGTTGTCACCATTTTAGACAGTCTTCCTTTTTCTTCTCTCTTTGCTCTATCCCCATTTTTAGACCCACTAGGGAGGGGGGGGGGGGGGGGTACGGTGATTAATTTGAAACACAGTATTTTTTGCCTTTTCGGTATAAATTATATACCCAATAGGATTTTTTTCTTCTCTCTCTCTCTCTATGACCTGAAATCGCTGCATTCTAAAGCCTTGATATTTAAAATAAATCCCCTGAAATAATTGTTTTTAACATGGGTTAAATATATTAAAGTAATATGGCGTCGGAGGTTTAAATCACGTTCGGAATTCCATATGCAGTTAAACCATGCGAGCACAAAGCGCGAGCCGAAATGTTTCGATATAATGACTTGATAATGTAGAGTGGGTAGGCAAAGGGCGTGGTTCCATGCGCGTAGCTAGGATTTTATTTTAGGGGGGCGATAATGAGCACCCTTTGCGTGCGAATCATTTAAAGAGCGCGCAAAGCAGGGAGGGGGGTATTTTCCCCGCGCGAAGCGCCGAAGCTCTAAAAGAAGACGATTCTTTGTACTTTTCTCGACTCTTAATCCTTGTCTGAATTCAGTCTCTCTCTCCCCCCCCCCCCCCTCCTGCGCGAAGCGCGGAAGCTTTGACGTATTATTAGACAAAGAAGACGATTCGTTGTACCGTTCTCGACTCTTAATCCTCGTCTGAATTCAGGTTCCCACCCCCCTCCTCCCGCGCGAAGCGCGGAAGCTTTTACGTTTCATTAAAGATTTTTATTACCGTTCTCGCCTCTGAATCCTCGGCTGAATTCAGGTTCCCCCCTCCCGCACAAAAGCTTTGACGTTTCATAAGATTATGAGAGAGAAGAAGACGATTCACTGTACCGTTCTCGATTCTTAATCCTTGTCTGAATTCAGTCCCCCCCCCCCTCCCCTCCTGCGCGAAGCTTTGACGTTTCATTAAATTATTAGAGAAAGAAGACGATACGTTGTGCCGTTCTCTATACTCTTAATCCTTGTCTGAATTTCAAAGATTTTCTTTGTCTGCTCCTTTTACTTTCTACGTCCTCTTCCGATTTGGGGGGACCGCCCCCCCCCCCCCCCCCTGGCTGGCTACGCGCCTGCGGTCAGATAAACACATTTTGATAACTTGTCCGGCTCCGGAAGCTCAGGGGTTTTAGGCGTTTAATTAAGGTCAGATGATCATTTTTTTTTAATACCTATTATTTTGTGACACTGGCAGGTCACTATTTGGCGTGGGGTCCAGGGGGCGGATCCCCCAAAAGCGGGGTTTTAGGCATTAAATTACCGTCAGATGAGCATCTAAGGGCCCGCTGTAGCGCCCTAGGTGGAATCCAGGGGGGCAGAGCCCCGGAAGCTTAAGGGTTTTAGTCATTTAATCACGGTCAGATAAGCATATTTTGATGACTCATTTTTTAACACTGGCAGTTAACTATTCGTTCTTTCTTGCGCTCATTCTATTTTTTTTCTCTTTAATATACTTTTTCAAATAAAGTGGGGGGGGGGGGGGGGGGGGGGAGGGAGCTCGAGGCTCCCGATCCCTGCCGTACCTCGGGCCCTGACATGTAGGAATCTCAAGAATCATATTTCGTGCCTGGCTGTAAATTTAGGAATTTGTCATTTTCCAACAAACACATATACAAACGTATAATTTACTAAAAAGTGAGGACAAATCTCGGAAATTATGTCATTTCAGCATTATTTGTAATCCACCGTTGTGGAATTATAAATAAACCACGTTTGAATTTGATTTCCCCAAAGTCCCCCCCCCCCCATTAGTACGCCAGTATCTCCTCTTTTCCTTTTTTCTTTCCCTTTCCTTCATTCTCTCTTATTTTTTTTTTTTGCGGGGGGGGGGGGGGCCAAGGCCCGCTCGGCCCCCCTGCGCCTGACTTTTGTTGGCAATAGTAACGTTAGACAGTCATAACCCACATCCAATGAATGAATCGCGGTTAATGGAATGATATTTTTTTCTGACCACTATAAAGAACAAATCATACGATATCATTCCGCCTACATCAGATCTGATTAAAAAAGGGCAATGAATTATTTTTTTTTAAATTACTTGATGAAGTCCGGGGAGATGAAGATGTGCCTGTGATGATCTTAGTCCAATGCAATGCAAGGCTATAAGCCCCCCTCAATCAATCTCCCAATATTTATAAACTGTCAGTTTTAATAATAATTTGAATACTAAGTCGATCTGTAGATTATAGAAACGCATAAAGCTTCTAGCCCAGAACATAAGTGTGCAAATATATTTGGGGAGGGCGGGATCAATGATAGCCTATCCGAGCCCGAACAAAATATTGGGAGGGGGGTGGGGGGGGGGGGGGGGGGCTCGATGATATCCGAGCCCCTCAAAAATATCAGGGGGCTCCGTGATGTTATCCGAGCCCCACAAAAATATCGGGGGCTCCGTGATATTATCCGAGCCCCTCCAACAATAATTGGGGGGGGGGGGCTGATGATATCTGAGTCCCTCCAAAATATGGGGGGGGGGGCTCAAAGATATCTTAGCCCCACCAAAATATGGGGAGGGGGTGCTCAATGATATCAGAGTCCCGCCAAGAAAATATTTGGGGGTCTCAATTATATCCGAGATATATATATTTTGGGGGGTCAATGTTATGCGAGATCCGATGTCTGAGCCCCCCCCCCCCCCTCCCCAAATAAATATTTATAAAATGTTTATATTTGAATGGTAAGTCTGTAGATTATAGGTATACATGAGTTTCATGCCTAGAATATAATGATAGGGGAGGTGGGGGTTAATGATACCGAGCCCCGCAATAAGTATTGGGTGCGGCTCAATGATATGTGAGCCCCACTTAAAATAGTGGGGGCTCAATGGTGTCTGCGCCCCTAAGGACTCAATGATATCTAAGCCCACCACAAAATTGGGGGCTCAATGATATCTATAAGCCCCGCCAAAAATATTGGGCGGGGTTCAATGATATCTGAGCCCCCCCCCCCCAAGATTTTTCATTGGGGGGCTGTGCCCCCGCAAGCCCCCCTCCCCGGTTCTTAAGCCTATGTCTACGATCACGACTGAATCACCATGGTATCACCGATCTCTAGCTAGCTCTAGCTCTAGCTCTAGCTCTAGAAAAAAAGATTTGTGTGTGTTTCTATGGCATGCAACGATGGGTATGATTGGTCAACATTAAACTAACGGTAGTGTGTTTTACTTACGCTACTGAATTACTTAGACAGTTGCGTTAATGAAAACTAAAGAGCTTACGTAGGTAAAATAATCCCTAGAATGAGTATACGTAAGCTTTTCATCATTTGACTAACGTAACTGTTTAGTAACGCAAGCACTACTCTGTAAAATCATTGGATACTGAGTGTACGTTAGTGTTTCCTTATTGGTTACGTTACTAGTTAAGTTTATGGCGGTGATGGCCTTCCATAGATATACACAGTGCAGCCCGAACGTGATCGTTAGTTCCGCAGTCATTATCCATGTACTGCATGTACTAGTACATGGAAGCACGTGCGCAAGCTATATCGATAAAGTGTGTGCGGACGTTGTACTAATACATACACTACATGCAGCGTTGTTGCATAGTAACTGCATGCGTATAGCCCACGTGTATTTATATTACATGTGCAGTTGATACACCGTGCATAAACACTGTATACATTGGCGTGTTTTCTTCAATGCTTGTGCGATGACTGCGATCGTGGAAGCTTGTTATTTACCGGACTTCCTCGGATTTATTTTGGATTACTACTACTATATTCTTCTTCTTTGATTTCTCCATTTTAGAAGGACAAAATGGGTAAGACTCGTGCTGTTCATAATCAGAAGTATAAGAAAGAATACGGGAAACAATTTCCAGTTGCAGAATCAGCACTTGGACTTCAACACGCATTTTGCATTGTGTGTTCGGCCGACTTCAGTATCAACCATGGGGGAATGAATGACATTCAGAAAAATTTACTCCTAATTTCTCTTGTCTCAGGTTGGCAGGTATGGGCTCACCATTCAAGAAGCCAGTGATTAAGTTCATCCTCATCATTCTCTGGTTCTTGCTCTATTTTTTTTGTAGACCAACTGTATGTTTTAAACAAGTTTATTTTTAAGCTTAGCACAGCTTTGATGTAATTTGTTTGTGTGTGGGAAAGCTGTCATTAGAGGTGATTTGGATTTAATACATATTCTTGTTTCTTCTGTTTGTTTTCAGATCTTCCCCTGCTCTGACAACGTGCGGTCAAGTTTGTAAGGCCAGCTATCTGGCTGATGCCTTAGTTCCGTGCAGTATACAAACAGCAAGGAATTGGCTGCACCGTCGCTCATTCTTGAAGTAAGTTGGGAGGGGGAAGGTTTTTTTTATGCCTCTAAAGTTGCCAGGGGGGTGTTTCATAAAGCTTTCGTAAAGTTACGCATGACTTTACGAACGACTTGTATATGAAGTGCCAGATAGGATGCCCAAAGTTTTTTCTGATATTTTCAATCAACTCAATTAAATTATGGCAAAAAAAATACTTTGCACTAAAAACGTTTGTTATCATAAAAATGTTAATCTACATCTGCACAGTTCAACTTTAGTTGATGTATTTAATAATGATTGAGCATCCCATTTGGCTTTTCATATACAAGTTGTTTGTAAAGTCATGCGTAACTTTATGAACAGCATTATGAAACACCCCCCAGGGGCGATACGTTCTCAGTATGTTCAACATCTCAGTTGTTTGTATGCCCTGGCTTCTCCACTCAGTGTTATTTAGGTTATGCATATGCATGTTCCCAGCAATTCTAACTTTTGAGCAAAAGTCAATACGGGTAGACCTTTTTCTTTTGGTATACAAGCCTTTTTTAGCACCCCCCCCCTTTTTTTTAGCAAAAGTTCCTTGTGTAAAGTCAGTACTGGTAGATCTTTTTCTTTTGATAGGAGCCGGAGATTTTACAAGCACTCATGGTATCCCTCCATTCATGGAGTGGGGTGGCGGGATGTATGCATGATTAGCTCAAAATTGTGATATCAGATGTTTTTGGCAGATTACTATCAAAATGGAGTTGACAAATTTGTTAATTGTTAATTGGGGCTTTTTTATATATATAATGTGCAATGGCGGAGCCGTGGAGGCATACACAGTCAGAGATCCATCTAGTTTAGTTTTTTACAATTGCATAATTTGTTTCTTTTCTAATTTACAATTTGGACAGCTACACAAACCATTAAGGAAGTTTGCTCTCTCAGGTCTGAGGTCCTGAAACGGGAGTCTCCATCCAGACTACCAATGATAGATTACCTCTTGTGACCGCCTTTTATCGCATCCATCCTTGCCTATTGTGACCGCCTTTCATCGCATATAACCTCGCCTCTGTTCCATCCTACATGGTACCGTAATCACCACATTCTCCACACTCTTGACCGTCTGCATTATTCACGTAAGCATCCCTTTGTTTACCCCCCCCCCTTCTCAATTTGGCCTTCCTTACTTCCTTCTTATGCCTTCCTCTCTTTCCCCATCCAAATGCCTTCCTATTCAAGGTCTTTATCACTGCTTTGATCAGGCCTCCCCTATTCTTATTTACATTTGTCTTTACCCTCTCCCTTGTCCCACGATATATTACCTATATATATATATATATTTTTTTTTTGTGTGTGTGTGTTTCCTCTCCATTCCCAGCCAAGTTTGATTGGCCGTTCAAAGCCTCTTTATTGCTCTATGTTTACACCCCCTTCCTTAGCTGTATGCATATGTTTGTATTATGTTTAGTATATAGTATTATGTTTTGTATGTTCCCTAGTCAGTTAGCCTCTGATGAAGTTTCTGCTAGATTAAAAAAATTAGGCCCTACATTAACTCTCATTAAATTAGAATGATCAGATAAAAATTTGACATGATTTTGTACCTCCTTTATGAAAGCACAATCCCGTAGATATACTTCATGTGTGTCTACTTAAGATATAGAAAAGAAGATATCATTTTGAAGGTTGGATAGGTTTTGTTGCATCTTCAATTGTATGTGATAAGGGGAGCTCAACACCAAAGCTATTTTGTAAAACACATATCAATTTTAAGATTGTTTATAGCCTTCTAATATGTTTTCTATAGAGTTTGATAGCAAGTTTTGAGAAAATTGCAATTTATAAACAAGTAGTCAACAATAACTTTCCACAATTTTGTGTTGGGATCATTCAATTCATACCAGTTGTACATACCTTGAAAACTTGTGTCTGAAACAAAAATTGTTCATTTCATAAAATATTCAAACTCATGCAAAATAATATGAATGTTAATGATTTAAATTTTATTTTATATTTATATTTTGTATTACAGATACTGTACATATCAACAGTTGATTGAAGGTTGGAAGTTCCCATCACACTTTGTCATCAAACCAGACAGCTTTCAACCAGAATCTTCCAGGTGTAAAAAAAAAAAGTAAAGTAATACATTAGTAATATGAAATGCATATATTTTGGGTTGTAAATCATTTCTTTATTTAAAAAAAAAAAAAAAAAATACATACAGTTCTGCACATGTACAAAATCACACACCCAAAATAATGTTTATAATTATATGGAAATTACATGTACACTGTAGGTTTAAATGTCACCCTTTATATTTTGCGATTAATTATAGGTTTTGTCGTCAGAATAGAAGATGATGTAAATCATAGCAGGGGAAAAAAAAAAGATTACCTTTTTTTTAAGTTGGAGAGGTTTTGTTGCATCCTCGATTCTATGGGTGACAAGGAGGGCTCAACACCAAAGTTATCTTGTAATACACATATCGATTTCAAGATTGCGTAAAGCCTTTCAATATGTTTTTATAGAGTTTGATAGCAAGTTTTGAGAAAATTGTAATTAATACACAAGTAGTCATTGGTCATTATACAAATGATGCACAGGTTTGAGTGCGTCGGTAGGGATTGTGTGTACAAGGTACCTTTGAATGGTTTTAGACCAAATTCAAAGGTAGCGCGTGTACACAATTGCACCGACCCACAAATTAAACCTGTGCATCATCTGTTTTATAAGATGGGACCCCCAAAATTGTCAAAAATACAAAATTTTGTTATTTTATAGATTTATTGGATGCATGGCAAAAGCATGCGTCTGGTAATTATAATTATTGGACGCATGATTTTTAAATTTGCATAATTTGTTTGTTGTTACTTAGTGCAATGGATTTAAACAAATGGAGAATGACTTAAGCCTAAACCTTAACAAAATAAAGTCAGGCCTAACTGACCTTTACATGAAACCCAAAAGAAAGTCATTAAATCAATAAAAACTTATTTTGCAAGCTTTTTTGAGTGTTAGAGAGGTGCAATCTAAATTAGAAGAGGTCTGGATCTTGTCCTTATCAAGTACAGATATTGAGGCTTTATGTGTGGTGCTTCCTGGCCCCTCTCGCTTCAGTTTCACCAACACAGCCTCGAGAAATTGAAATTTGTTACGGATATCTTAAGTACAGTGATCCAAAAAGTGGCGTTGTATGCCACAGCGAAGGTACTAAAGTCTAGGTTTACAACTCACCGTCGGTCTATGTACAGAAGCATAGAACTTAGTTTAGAACTATAACAGTTTGTCCAATTCTGGCGTAAAAATGTCTCCTAAATTGACGTTCTTGATTCATGCAAACTTTTCCAACTTTGAGAATCCATACTATAATTGAAATTTTCATGCTAGTCACATTTAAATCATCCAACAATTTAGATAATTCTTTTTCTTATAGAAGCTGGAAAATCAAATCGCCGCCGCGATTTCGCCATTTTGTTCGGGATATCGGTGTTATCGATTTCAATATTGCATATATCGTGTTGATATTGCGTGCATCCAGTAAAAATAATTACACGGTAATTGACCAATCAGATTGCAGGGATTCTTTTAACCATCTGATAGTACATTATGTGAATGAATCATAATTGAATGGCCTTTTTTATATTCAATATCAAAACAAAATATTAACTGATATATATCCAAACAATAATGATGGTTTAAAAAGCATTCCATCTACTTGTTTATGTCTCATGCATATCTTTTTCTTTTCTTTTCTTTTCTCTGTCTGCAGGTCCTGGATTTTCAGTACGGTATATGTTTTGTGTTCTTTGTATAAAAGACTTCTATACACTCCTTCCATTTTCAGACGTCTTGTTGGACTGAAATATTTTTCACTTCCACTCATTTCACCTCCCCTCTAAGAAGACATTTCCCATAAGCAAAAAAATCATTACATGTTCATTTTTCATAAGAATTTATCACAGCTGTGAGCTCATTTCACCCATTTCACCTCATTTTTTCATGAACGATTCATCCCAATAACGCTTGCAATAAGATCTGAACGAATTGGAAAAAATTTGGAACGAATTGGAAAAGACTTGGAACGAATATTAAATAACTGATTACAATTCCTTAAAAAGTGTAAACGTGTGAATTTCTTTAATTCTTGGTGTAAAAGTGAATGATATTTTGGTATACGAGTTGTTAAAGCTTAATGTAAATAAATTAATGATAAAGAGTGAATTTTCTGATATTAAAAAAACAACTTTGGGCTGTGGTGAGTTGCTTTGAATTATAAACTGGTGGAATTTTCAAAGATTGGTGAGAAGGTTGTGTGTGTATATTATATAAAACGTTAAAGACAATACAAATATTGCACACAAAAAACGGGAGATTGCATAAGAGACTATAGGAAAAGCGAGACTGACTGTCAAGAAACAGATAATTGAGCATAGTGGTATATTCGAGATTGTAAGAGAGACTAAATAAAGGAGTGAGTCTGATTCATTGAATAACGGCAAGATAGTCTTTGTGTAACTTACAGGAACGCAAATAATTTAGCAGAGTTGTTTGATAGAAGAGGCACAGTGTGATTGATTGTTGAGGAAAGAAATTTCAAGAACGTGAAACCAAAAGTGACGTAAAATTTGTTTATAATCGAGTAAACAAGGGGTTTTGTGAGAACGTGAAGATAATAAATAAGCAAAGTGTGCTAAGTACATATAAAAAAGAGTGACGGTGAGATAAACCTGATTACTAAAGTTCCGAGTATATGCACGAATGTGTGTAAGCCTATGTTATAATCATTAAAACAAAAAGAAAACGCATTATATATATTGAAGAACTATATATCATATAGATATAAGCCAAGAGATTGCATTTTTCCCGTCTAAATTATATACGTGAAGTTCTGAGCCAAATCGTATCAATTTGTACGGCTAATCATTAAAACCATGTTGGAAACGGACACATCACTTGGACCGAATAGTAACACGTATATCATGAAAGGCAATGGGGATTGTTGCGTCTGTGGCCTAGATATTCAAGAGAATGAGAGCAAAACAACCTGTGAAACATGCTTGAACCATTACCATGTGCCATGTATGGGATTACCTTCTGCAGAAGAGTTGACCAATGCTCAAGTAGTATGGATATGTTGCTATTGTGGTAACAACAATTTGTCTAAGCGCTTATACGACCAATTTGGTATCCCTATTGACGTAAACATGTACGAACATCTAACGAAAGACAATAATGATAATGACCACGCAGCACAGCTTAGTCCCATAACTCGTGCACAAGACAAGAGAAACAAATCTTCATCAAGCGGGAAAAAGCATATTCCTCGGGGCAAGAAAAGACTACTTTCGCCAAACCAATCAACCACAAAGAAAAGGAAATCTGATGAATGTCAGAATAGTAACAGAATCGAAGATAATGATTGCCAATCGTGTACAAGTGACATTAAAACGACATTCACAAGAACTACATTTAGGAAGAGAACCAATTATGATCGAACTGATGTAACTGCTGATGATAATGCCGAAATTTGGAGAACGGTAAAGACAAGGAGAACTAAGCCGCTTAATGAAAGAGGTGTGTCCCGTAAAGCAACGAATGCGAAAAATGACCCATATTCTAGCATGGACAAAGGCAAAGGTCGAGAGAAAGGTGTCACGTACATTGGGAAAGCAATGGCATACGTGTACACAAGATCAACAAGAAGAAAACAAAAATCACATTTGAAGCAATCTCAAAATGGAAATAATAAAGACCTTGCCAACGACTCAACAGAAAAGAACATCACCACCAATGAGAACGGCCTTGCCAACGATAAAACAGGAAAACACTCCACCAAAGAAAACGAAGATAACAATAGTAATAGAGTTTTTGTAAAGAGTTTGAGCACTCCTGTAAAAGAGAATGAACAAGAAAGTCAAATATCTTCCGACCATAGTTATCAAATTGGTGCGATGGCTACACTTTTTTCTAAGAACAACGACATGAGCAAATGGACCTCTTCAAATCTTGATACTATCGTGACATGTGCTAAAGACGCTGATATACCGGATGATCCACGTGAATCGGCCAACAATTCTAGTGGAAAGATAATTCATGCCTTTGACAAATGTTTTGAGTTAGAAATTTGTGAATCCCACACCGGTCCTCTTATACAAGAACACACTGAAACAAATGTACCCTCTGGTAAAGTTCCGTTGATCAATGCCTTACAAGATGCACTAGATACACAACAAAAGTCAGATGGATGCCTAGTCGAATTTAACGAACATACTTTTGTTATAATGCCTCATACCACTGGATATTATATCTTTGACACACATGCACAAACAGAAATAGGTGGACGACACATGTTGATGCACACGAACACATGGACAGGTGCTTACGCATTTTGTTTACAATTGGCACATATAACGAATCTTCCAAATAGTGTAGCATACAGACTCATCCAAGTGAAAGTACATGACCCTCAACAGGACAATATATCGCAATGTTCGAAGGACACAAACAAAGATGACGACAGTGAAACTGTACAAAAGAACACACTTGCATCTACAAGTAATCTAATTGAAGAAGGCAAAACCAACAACGCACCACAATGTCCCAAACAATTATCCACAGTGACATCAAATACAAATGAAAACCGCCCCATCGGTGATTCTCCAAAGATTAAAACCCCCACAGAAAGCATCGATGAAGAACAGGTATTTGCAGATGATAAGTCAAACCACCCGCAACAGAAAGAGGGAAAAGAAAAGAGTGAAATCAATACTTTCAAAGAACAATCCGAAGACAAAGCATTTGAAAGCACTTCCAACAAATCGAATGGGAGACAGAAATGGAATATCCTTGAGAATGAGACAGAATTTACATCAGACAGCAAAAAAATCACACATACGTCACATACAAGCATTTCTGGAACTCGCAAGAATAAAGCAGAATCCTCTCAGGATTCATCGCTCGATTTAAAGTTGGATGAACCAAACGTGACGGAAATGAGCACTACGAAAATAGAAAAGGATGTAACAAGTATGACTACAAGCATATTTGATGAAGACCCTGATGACTTGATAATACTAGGAGAAATACAAAAGTCTGTCTTGCACTTTTCACCTGTGAATGAAATGAAGAAGAAAGAATATTGCACAAAGTTAAACATTCAACAGATCACACCCACTTCTGATATTGAAGGTCAAACATGTCAACCTATTGAACATCCATGTACAATCAAACATGTAACGGGTGATGGAAATTGCTTCTTTCGTGCCATATCATTTTGTGTATCAGGAAACGAGAACAACCACTTACTTGTGAGAAAAGCTATTGTTGTTCATCTTTTGAAAAACAAGAACAGATTTGAGACACGTTTGAGAGATGGTTTTGCTAACGTTTCAGATTACGTGACAAAGAGCAAAGTATTTCAAAGGGGTACCTGGGCTACCGAAATGGAGATTATGGTTTTGGCAAATTTGATTGAAACTGATATATACATATATGACGAGCAGAACACTAAATGGAGTATATTTTCGGGCAAGGATGTACAACTTGGAATGGTTACCTCTGACAAAGGAATTTACTTGAGAAATACACAACGTATACATTACGATGTTGTTTTGTCAGTACAATCATTTCACTGCGATAATCCCAACGAAAAGCACAATGGAACTGAAAAGGAGAACACACTTGCATCTGATGCTCCACAATATCAAGAGAAATACACTACAAGCACACCACTATGTCCTAAAGAATTATCCAAAATGGCATCAAAAAATGATAGTGATAATATAAACATTCCCATCAATGGTTTGCAAACAGTTGAGGCTCCCCAAAAAAGCATCCATGTAGTTTCAGTGACCAATGAAAGTGAAAAGAAAATTGGGTCGTCTGTTGCTCCAAAAGTATCTATGTTAATTAGACAAAAGACATCGAATGTTTGTGAGACTTCTGAAAGAAAAGGCATGAAACAAACGAGTAAAACAAACAAGGTGGACAAAGCCTATAAGCAAAAGTGTCATGAAAGTCGTACAACAAATGACCCATCCCAGTTTCAGAAAAAAATACGCACAGAATACCACTTCAATCCTATATCCTATGAGAATGCCAGTCCTACGGATAAAACCCAGTCAAACGAACATAACAAAATGGGTACGAAGGTAAATTTCCAAAAGACGATTATTGCTCAGGGAACGTTCAATCAGGGCCATCCAAGATTTGGCAATTCAAGCGGGAAACAATGTGTTTGTAATTCTTTAATTGCAGTGTTAAACAGCAAGTCTAAGAAAGCCAACCAATGGAAGAGTTGTGATCTAGATCGAATCTTGACAATAGGTGATAATTTGTATACCAATATAAGTAAAAGCACTTCAGTCACAACGGATTACTTAGCCATGAATCAATTACCTACGGAATTGGATGGATATGATGACTGGAATGACTATTTTACGATTGTATACCACGAAACAATTCTAGGACATCTATTGGAAGTTGAATCGCATAATAAAGAACTTGGTTTTGTGACATTAGAACAGGCATTCGAACAACAACTGTGTAAGACTCGTGATGCCCATTTTGTGACTTTCGCCAACAACACATTTGTAGTTATAACAGGACATGAGGGGTATTTTATATTTGATTCGCATTCTAGAAGCAATCGAGGCTTTTTAAGTGAAAATGGGTACAGCATCTTACTTCATACACCAAGCTGGCAAGGGGTTTACAAACATTGTATGACATTAGCAAAGACATTGAGTTGTCATATGAACCATTATTTTGAAGTAACTGGTATATCAGTACAAGCAATATCCGGTAAGAATGAGACATTAACCGGATTTCCTATATTACAAGGCATCCCTACTTGTCAGAATATGTCCTCAACTACGCAATACAGCACAACGTCTCAATGCCCAACACATTCTGATGAAAAGAAAC